GTGAAAGCTCGTCTCTACTAAAAATACAAAAATTAGCTGGGTGTGGTGGTGCGTGCCTGTAGTCCCAGCTACTCGGGAGGCTGAGGCAGAATAATTGCTTGAATCCAGGAGGCAGAGGTTGCAGTGAGCCGAGATTGGATCACTGCCCTCTAGCCTGGGTAACAGAGCAACACTACATCTCAAACAAACAAAAAAACAACAACAAAATAAAGCTTAAGGAACATCAACCAAATGCAATATGTAAGCCCTATTTAGGATACTATACAAAAACATTCACAATAACCCAGGCAAAATGAACATAAACTGGGTATAGATGACAAAGAAATCCAATAAACACTGAATTATTCATTGGGCAAATAAATGATGTGTGGGATTTGTTTTAAAGTCTCTAACTCTCCCCTGTTTGTGCCAAGATTGTCCATGAGTTGAAAACTGTTAAGAGGTGGGTGACAGCTACAAGAGAGATTATAGTGTCCTCTCTGTATGCTTGAAAATGTCAACAATAAAATTTAAAACTAAAAATAAAAATGAAACCATAATTCTTAAGATGCAGTTTGAATTAACTACAGCAGCTGTATGTGAAGCATTTCAAAGGAGTTAATGACATCACAGTATTAAATCCATCTGACATGGAAACTAACTCCAACTACATCACAGTTTTTTTTTTTTTGAGACGGAATCTTGCCCTGTTGTCAGGCTGGAGTACTGTGGCGTGACAGATCACTGCATCCTCCGTCTCCAGGGTTCAAGTGATTCTCCTACCTCAGCCTCCCAAGTAGCTGGGACTACAGGTGCACGCTACCATGCCCAGCTAATTTTTGTATTTTTAGTAGAGACGAGATTTCACCATGTTGGCCAGGATGGTCTCGATATCCTGACCTCGTGATCTGCCCGCCTCAGCCTCTCAATGTGGTGGGAATACAGGTGTGAGCCACCGGTGCCTGGCCTATGGCACAGTTTTAAAACTGCATTTGCCTAGAAAGTGGATTTCTGTATATAGACCAAGTGTTGGGCTATATGACTCCATTGTCTTAGGCTATTTGGGGTTGGAGGAGGGAAGAGGGGTGAAGTAGAAAAGGAACAAGCTAACAAATGTCTTTTAAAAAGTAGAATTTAAAACAAAACCACATTCAACTGAACACCAGAACTCAATACCAGGATACAAGTTCAATTTTCAAAGAGCTAGAAGATCAAGCTAAGCACTGTATTGTATTTTGCTGAACGTTAAAATGACATAAACGTACTACAATTGCCTAAAGATGTTAAAAAAGTCAGCTTTTCAAATCTAGTCATGGCCTACTCATATGATAAACCCAATCCAAATGAGCAAAATTTAAAAGTTACACATACAGACAAATTCTCAACCACAAGGCTGTTTAGTTTAAGTTATAAGTTAGAAGTTCTAAGACTCTCCTTTTACCCACCTTGAGCAATCGCAGCAAGTTTTCCCTTTTCTTCAGGGCTGAGCTGCAACATTGTATTTATAACAGGAAGAAGTCTTTCTCTTTCACTACCTGGTTTCAGGAAAATGAACTGTAGCAAGACATTCTTCAAGTATTCCAGGTTAGCTGCAGACTTCTCTCGCTCTTGATTCCTTTCTAATCTTCTTATTTCACTTTTGAGAAGCTGGTGTTAGAGAAATGAATTAAAAATGGGCTTTAGGAGCTTCTGATTAAATATGGCAGACTGAACTCATGTATTTTTCTTCTCCTCCCCGCTAAACGTCCCCCTTCCCTCCATATGGCAATAAAGGAGGGAATTCAGTTAACTATAGCAGCTGTATGTAAAGCATTTCAAAGGAGTTTATGACATTACAGTATAAAATCCATTTGACACGAAAACCTGAACTCCAACTATGAGATAGTTTCAAAGCTGCATTTGCCTAGAAAGTGGATTGCTGCATATGCACCAAGTGTTGGGCTATATGACTCCACTGTCCTAAGCTATTTAGGGTTGGAGGGAAGAGGGGTGAAGTTGAAAAGGAACAAGCTAATACAAGAGGAGGAAAAGTAGATGAGACACGTCAAGAAATTCTCACAAGATGAGAAACAGACGAAGAAGTGGAAATGAGTCAGTCCAGCAGCTTAACAAGTATCACTGACAAGAGGAGAGGATGCATCCTGTGTAAATACTGGGGTTCTTGCTTCAGAAGCACAGGGTATCATGGAAATTGGAGTTGAAAGCTGGGGAACTAATGGAATGTCTACATGAGGAGCAACTAACTGGAGCCATGGGTTGGTACCAAGATGTTTCCTCTGCCTTCTACTTTCTATAGAAACTAAGCCTGTATGGCATGGGGCTCTGACAATGGGCTGAGGGGAACATCTGTAGCCTCCACTAACTCCCTGCCCCTATCTTGTTCCTAAAGTCCCAGGCAGTTAAGACGTCCACAGTGAATGGCACTTAATCAAAAGTTCAGACACAGTGAAAATTCAAGAATATAAGACAATGTAAAACACTATCAAAGAAATGAGGCAAAGAATGATATAAAAAAGGTAACAGCATGTTCAAGTCTTTGAGGAAGATTTCCAGGTTGAAACCAAGCCGTGGCTTTTAGCATATTTTCATTTTAGGTTAGACGAGAAAGTTAGCCAACTTTGTCCTAAAACCTAGGACCATTTAAAAAAGTGACAATAAAGACGACTAAGAAATTATCAAGAGAGTATAAATTCATGAAAATATAACATTTGGCCAGGTGGGGTGGCTCATGTCTGTAATCCTAACACTTTGGGAGGCTGAGGCGGGCAGATCATGAGGTCAGGACATCAAGACCATCCTGGCCAACATGGTGAAACCCTGTCTCTACTAAAATACAAAAAATTAGCCGGGCGTAGTGGTGCGTGCCTGTAGTCCCAGCTACTTGGGAGGCTGAGGCAGGGGAATCGCTTTAACCTGGGAGGCGGAGATTGCAGTGAGCCGAGATCACACCAGTGCACTCCAACCTGGTGACAGAGCAAGACTCTGTCTCAAAAAAGAAAAAAAAAAAAAAAAGAAAAGAAAACATTTAAATAAGTAACTTAGGTTTACTGGGCTAGTTAGTGATTTGTTAGCTATGATGTTTTTATTAGTGTGAA